GTTATTCGGGACCCACCGGTCCCGACACATTCCCGCTACTCATTCGCGATGTCTTCATCGCTCACCAGTCTTCTGTCATTAGGAGGGTCTGGAGGGATAGATGGAGGAGAGGGGTGGGTGTGATAAGTAATTATTTGCCAGGGTCTTTTTTTTTTCTTATCTTGTTCCTTTCTCGGGGTCTTTTCTAGTCTACGCTCCTTGGGGCGGGGAGGGGTGTGTGGAGGGTCAAGTTATCTTTTTAGGACTTCCTTCAGGCTTCTCTCCTCTCATTCATCACTCTTAGAACATCAAACCTTTTTTCGGCTTCTTTCGTCTCATCCATGACCCGAAGTGCATCAAGCTTTTCGTCTCATTCATCACCCGAAGTGCATCAAGCTTTTCGTCTTATTCATCACCCGAAGTGCATCAAGTTTTTCTTCTCATTCATCACCCGAAGTGAATCAAGCTTTCTCTCGTCTCATTCATCACTCTCAGAACATCAAGCCTTCTCTCGTCTCATTCATCACTCTCAGAACATCAAGCCTTCTCTCGTCTCATTCATCACTCTTAGAACGTCAAGCCTTCTTTTGTCTCCTGCGGCCCTTGCACCTCCCCGGAATCTCGCCATCCCTTAAGGCCCTTGAATGATTTGCCTTCCGTTTTGAGCAGATCATATCCTTTTTCCGACAATTGTCACCCTCAGCGCCTTTTTTAATCGGCTCTTCGGCCCGTGCAGTCCATGCCTCTTGTCATCCTCTTCTCTCCCCCGTGCTCAACCAATTTTTCATGCATTTCTTTCTTGGACATTTTGTCCGCCCCTTCTCGAGCCCTAGCTAAAGCATGCAACTTTTCTTCTGGTCATCTTGCCAGACCTTCTCAAGCCCACTCTCAATCAGGCATTTCTCAAACCCACGCAAAATCAATTTCACATGCATCTTTCTTCTGGACATCCCGCCAGGCCTTCCTCAAGTCCACGCAAAGTCAATTTTTCATGGCTTTCTCTTCTGGACATCTTGCCAGACCTTTCTCAAGCCCACGCAAAGTCAATTTTCCATGCCTTTCTCTTCTGGACATCTTGCCAGGCCTTTCTCAATCCCACACAAAGTCAATTTTCCATG